CCTCAGGCACGGCGTGAGGCGCGCCGCCATGTTGTGCGAGGCGCCCGGGGGTTGCCAAGAACGCAAAAACAACAACAAGAATAAGGCAATAAGGCCCACTTTTCTTGCCCACTGTTTGCCAGGCTAGATATTCTGCTGCCATCGTGGCTATAGGTTGTTGTGAGTTATTGCTGGAGCAGCTCATGCCAGTGAAGCCAGTCAGCTGAAGGATCCGAAGTGGTTTTTGATCCTTTCAATTTCTTTTCCATCATCTTCTTCTTGCCTGTTTTTAGTGCTGAGCAGCTGATACCAAAATATAATCTTGCAAGCTGCAGGAGTGCCAATAGACTCAAAATGACTTCAAGTGATATGCCATCCAGATATAAAACACCTAAAAGTGTAGCAAGAACATTCATGCTTTAGGAGGACAGCATACTTTATTTTTGCTAGGAGAAAGGCCTGTTTTTCATAAGTACGTGAAATTGCATTTGTCTTAATATTACAGWCAAATATGGTCCAGCTTTATGGAAATCCCAGCTTTACAGCTCTTTTTTCATCTGTCCGTCTGGGGGGCTMATTTCTCCACTAACATCATTTAGTAGCTCTTTGGGTGCAGGGTGAGCTCATGTTGCCTCCTCTTCGCACGGACTCTTTGCCATGACACTGGCATGAGTATTGTCTCCTTTAATGAGGATGCCATGAGAAATTTCCATTTTGTAATTTGGACACATTTCCTTGTGACTTTGCAGCCTGAGTGCAGAAGTGTTTTCATCTGCAGAAATAAAGCAACATTTGCATATAAACGTGAGAGCTGAGGCTGGGAGTGCGTATGTGGGAGGGAGATTTCTGCTCTCTCCTTCTTCCCTTATTCTGCCAAATTTAGAGTGCACATTTTTGATGCCAAGACTGTGGACCAAATGCCACACAGCTAAACTCATTTTACTATGACTAAATCATTTAAAGTTACTACAGATCTATGTTGGTTTAAATATAGATTTTCGTGGACTTACTCCGGATGAGATCTAGATCAGGCAGCAGAATTTTGTCATAGGATTTGATTTGTTATACAAATTGTCATGAATATAATGACACCAAATAAATACAGTAGCTAGCACATGTCTTATACATCAAGAAGTATAAATCAAGTATAAATCAATAATTTTATTAATTAACATTTAAGAGTCAAACCAAGATAGCAACTTTCACTATATTACTTTTATTTACTTATTAATTGCATTATAATTACAGCTAAAAGTTGGGAATGGTTGTCTATGAACATACAGTACAATAGTGCCTATATAACAGACTGGTATATTCTAGAAACTTTTCAGAATATACAGCTCTGGAAGACTTTACAGTATGTTGAAAGGAAGGTAAATAGAAAGTGAGAAATAGATGCAGTGAAAGAGAAATGCTTATGTAAGGATGAGCTGAGATTAGAATAGTGCAGATTTTAGTGTAGATTTCCTAAGACTTAGGAGATCATGCTGTCTATCCTAGCAGTTTTTAGCAGTTCAGAATTTGAGAAAAACCCAGTTGCAAACAGTCTGCTTTTTTGTTACTGCATTTACAATGTGGCTATATGCCCTTTGGAGAGCACAATAAGGCACTAAAACAGCAAGAAATTTATTCTATAATTTATTATCTCTGATGAGCAATTTATGTAATGAAGAAAAAAATACAAAAATTGCAGAAGGAACCCTTTCTCTGTTCTCAGCAAATGACAAGAAGATATTAAATTGCAAATATTGAAGAATACAGAAGGCTAAAAAGACAGACTGGGGTTGGTCTAGATGTTGGAATTAAAATTACAAAGCACAGACAAGTATGCAGATTTTAAGCTAAACCCTTTTAATCTTATACACAGAGTAGAATGACTATGTGCCATCTGGAATTCAGGGAATCCAATGAAGGTTGGAGGTGTAAACATCACACATAGGATTATCAACATCTGTTTTCAATGCATCCTAATATATATGCATCCTTGAGGGATAAGTTAGAGAAAATGAGGGGAATTAATAAAACCTGATGAAATAAAGAGGACCACATCACTGTGTTTACTTAGAGATGAAATGGACTTACACAGGCTGAATAAATAAAGAGTACGATGTTTCAAGTCTGTTCATCTCCTTCCAACTCCCATTGATCCTATAATAGCAGAATAAATTAGAGTCCTACCAGATGTAACATTTGGGAAGATTTGGCATACAATATCCCTCCTACTCTTCTCCCCCCAAACCTGCAAATGGATGAAAATCAGTAAGTTCTGAAAAGTTGCGGAACTCTCTCATGTTAGCTGGTTCTGCCCCCCTCTCCCATCCCCTTGCCAGCAGTAAAAGACTCCTAGAGGACT